CTCGAGTTAGGACCATGATGCACTTCTGCTCCTGCACAAACAACGTGGTTTTGACGTGGTAGTTGTCAGTTGTTGCTGTCCGTGTTATTTCAACTTCGTGGTTCGTGCGTGCAGGGTGCACAGCGAGTGCATCCATGGAATCACATGGGATAGTAGTTGTGCATTAATGGAAGAACAAACTTGTATCGTTCGTCATAATAGTTATCAGTGATTATCAGCCAGTGATTGGGACACACGAGAAATGTCACACGTACGTTTAATGGCTTAAGTTTACAATGTTAATTTAATTTAATATTAGTTACTGTTACTTCTCAGAAGTTACCAATTAATTTTCCGTAGGAATTGATGACCTTAACTAATGAAGGTAAAGAAGTGGCGATTATAGTGAATTGCCAGTGAGTAATACAAATGTGAAAAAGTTAAACCGTCATTTTTCGTAGAATCCATGCATTTCACTTGGTATATCGGTACTAATAGACATATTAATACGTGCTCTGAAATTTGATCCTTTCTGTTCGTCTTGGTTTTATCAATCTGTTGTAATGGCTTCGGAAGAAACTGTGAACGCTTTTCCGAATTATTGGTCGGAATAGCCCTTGTGAATTGGTATTGACATTAGCACCAAAAACGTACGCAGTAGATTTCAGAATTGATATTTTTTTGATTGTGATTGTGATTTTCATCCAAATCTGAAGGAATCTATTAATTTCTAAAACTGTTTTTCAAGCTCAATTTTTAAAAAATATTTTTATTTTTTGTTTGAATAGAGTAAATTGTATTATAATTGTAGAAGGTAAAATCAAACTTTTCATAAAATATTTTGGATTTTATATAATTATAATTTTTTTTTCATAAAAGTCTGATTCATAGTCGTTGACAGTTCAGACCAAAACACAGGCTGCATAGAGAATGGTATCATAATGGTTATAAGTTCCATTTACGTTACTGGTGATGTATACAGTACTTATTCAGTTTTATGGTCAATAAAATGCCTAATTCATACAAATAGTTTATAATTTTAATTTCAGAAAATAGAAAAAATGACAGGGCAAATGCAACGAATAATAAACTAATGAAAATACATAAACAGATTTAAAATATAATGAAAGTACAATTTAATGCAAGTAATTTAAATTTTAAAAAAATAATAAAATGAATAAGGTACAATCAAATTCAAATCAGTAAATAAACAAATTAAAATGCACTGCTAGTCCAAGTAAGTATGTGGTAACTCACTTTACAATCTATTCAAATTATAATATGGGTCTAAATTTGTGGAGTGTTGTAATTACACAAGTGCACAGTCAAATATTACAAATAAACAAATGGAGACAACCCTCTAAATGTAGATAATCTAGTTTTTTCAAATGTGTCATGTGTGGTGTCTGTTAAATTAACATATATCGTAGTGTGGTGAATGATGTGTAAACTGGTTTATTTTTGTTATGTCTAATGAGTACAGCTCCAAAAATGATCTGAATCAAGACTGAAATGTTGGCTGGTTTGCAAGTAAAATCCATAATCGCTTATTCACATGCACACCCACTCATATTATTGCTTGTAAATAAGGGTGAAGAAACTTGAATTTCATTGAATATTTTTCTATGTTATTATTTTAATATTATACTATAAATAAGGTCAGTCAGTCTTAGTTGGGTTTGTAATATATTATACATAAACTGCAATATGTTGTCGCTTCCTGGTGTGCATTTGTAATTTATACCACCATGCTTGCATTTGTAGCTTATTCTAAATTATTAAATTAATTGATCATTTGAATTAAATTTCTTTCTCACAAATTTAATTTCAATTAAAAAAAATTATAGCATTTTAAATGCTTGTTGAAATGTGTTTGTTAATTTACAGGGCCTGTAATTGCGAGTGTGACTGCTGCTTTCTGTTTCTTATGTTAGTTATGTCACTGGTTGTGTTGACTAAAGAAAAGTGTTGAATCCTCAAAAAGTATTTTGAAGGCAGATGTGTGTAAAGAAATGAAATTATAGAGTTTAATCAGCTGAGTTGTAAAATTAGTTATTGCAAAGTTTATAAAAAGTTTAAAAAAAACAACAGGAAATATTGTCTTCAGTTGATTTACCATTCTCAGAGATGTGAATTAAATACATAATGCTCAGTAAACGTTTCCAAGAGTTCTTGTAATTTGAATCTTAATAGAAACTTCTGTACATAAAGTTTCGTTTTTACTGTTTTCACACTGTGTTAACTTCTTGCAAATATGTAAAGGTGATGTTGAAATAGCCGTTAAGATATCATCTGCAGATTCTACAATGTTAAAATTCTTCTGACCCACAGCATCTATTGCATCTTTAATTATCTAATTCAGTACCAAATTCAATGACCTCATAACAGTCAGAGTAAAAATGCTCTAGAGTCCTCTTGACAAGGTTTTTCCTGAAATATGTTTATTTTAATAAACTTCATTTAAAACAAATTCCATGATTTATGGTGTAAAATATCAAGGATATAAAAAAGGTGCAGATTGTCATAGGGAACATATTATTAATTTAATATAATTAATAATAATAATAAAATATGTATGATAAAAATATAAAATATATATAATAAATAATAGTTTATACATAATAATAAAAAAATATTAAAATTATACATAGCTCATAAATTGTGTGCTAGGCCCTTAAAGCAAAAAGTTTTTATGCCCAAAGGGACTAGTGTTTATGAACCAGATGACTTTCATGAAGACAATTTTTGAATGGGGGAACAGATGGAGCCTGTGTTTTATTTCTTAAGCAGTAATCAATTAAATGAAATTATTTTGAACATATTACATTTTTGAAGAATTAGGTCTTCTTAGCATCAATATAATGTTTGTGTTTACATTTTTACCACCCCTAGTAGAAAAGTGTCATAACTCCAAAAAGGTGATTTTTCAGGAGAGTGATCAGATCTTTAAAAGTTTGAAATTACATTCTCAAATCATGTTTATGAAGTACGAACATCACCAATAGTTGATTAAAATAGGTCTAAAAAGAAATGACACAATTGTGGTATGCAAGAGCATTAAATTTCACTTTAATAATGTAAATAAAAATTCAATTTTTTTCAGTTAAGACACTTTTCTACTGGGGGAGTAGACATTTAGTAGTTACTAACACAAGAGTTCAAGAGATGGGTATTTGATGTTAGGATCCAATATGAAGCTATTTTCACTTTAAAAATTATGATTTACAAGGTGTGCAATGTTTTTCAAGGTCCCATAGAGTATTTTAATAATGTGCTAATAATAAGTGTATGCAACTTTTGTGATGGTTTATTTGTAAGAAATGCAAGGTGTTCATAATGTAACACCTTGCAATTTTTTTTCTTCTTCAAAAGTAGATTTCAAAATATTCTTCAATGAAATGAAAAAATACCATTGTTGAAACCTTGGGTTCTGCTTTTTGCAAGTATGAATCAATTAATGGAATTTATTAATATCACTAATTAACTAATAGGATGAATTCATTCATACTTGTTAAGTAATGGAATGAGAGGTAGGATATTTTGCTGTTGCAAACAACTTGTGTCCACCTAATTCCACTAGGATTGACCAGATCACCTTATATGGAAAGAATAATTTGAAAATTGATAAGATATTGACCATAATAGGTTGTTTTAACAGCAGTAATAGGTTGTTTTAAAGAAAGATTACTAGGGCATGGAAGTTCAGGCATTTATTTTGCCCAAATAGGCATGCAATTAGACATTCCTAGCCAAAGGGTGCAAAATAAGAAAAGTGAAAATTTTGAAAGGATATGTAGGCAAAATAAGATTGAAAGAGCCTAAAGATCCTACTCAAGCATGGAATGGGATTCCTTTTGGCATATGAAAGCATGTGGGTATCAATGAAACACATCCAAGACACTTGACTGGTTTCACATTGCTCTTTTGCAGTGTTGTTTTTTAATACTTCCTGACCCTAGACCCTGAGTTACTTTTTCCTTCATATCTTGCCTCTGTTTGAAAAGAAAAAAAAAGATATGAGAGTACCCATGTATTGACCAAGCTTGCAGATGTTCAGATGTGATGACCTGCTTCATTGAGATTGGTGACATGAGAAGAACAGAAATTATAATGACAAATGAAGAAAAAGATGACAATAAGGCAAAAAGTTAAATAGGCTTTGTGGGCTACAATAGGCAAAGTGAAAATCTTATTAAAAATTCCAGAGTGCAGTAAAGTGATTCCTATAGTTAAGACAAAATAGTAACAATAATAATGTTATTGACAAATTTTCAGGCTCAAGTCTTGTATTTATTTAGTCAAAAAACAGTGAAAGCTGTTTGTTGAAGTATGAGGGAGAAGATTTCAAGTTTCAGAATTCCTTCCCAACATTTTAACTATAAATAGTTGAAAGATGAATAAAAGTTTGAAAGTAGTAATAAAAATAATAATAATAATAATAATAATAATAATAATAATAATAATAATAATAATAATAATAATGGAATTTAAAAAGCACGAGATTAGCAACATTTGAAAAACTAGACAATTTCATTCCCAAGTTAGAAAAAACTTACTTACAACAGTAAACAAACGGAAAATTTGATTTTTCTGCATTGCCAAAAAAATAGTAACTCAACCTCAGCCCTAATTCTACCACTAAGCAATAGGAGAGCTCAAAAAAACATGTTCATAATGAAGCTACATTTATGCCCTGAAGCAAATCGGGGGCCATTTCTGCATTTCATCAATAAATCGGGGAGAACAGGACAAGAACCTAATCTTGGGATTTCAATTTAAGAATTTGTATTTTGTTTGTAAAAGTTAATTCCTTGGCACTCTTCAAGAGCTTAATAGTTGGTAACATTGACTTGTGGTTTCCCAAGTACTTCTGTGTGTGTGTGTGTGTTTTCTTCTCAGTTTTGTTGCTTCTGTATTGCTGCTGTATAAATAGGATAGGAACTATGCTTATGTCTTGTTAAGCTTCTGTTCTAGTGTTAATTCAGTTACATTAATGAAGCATAAACTTGCGTGTGTTTCAGGAACCTATGTATTTTAATGTGGATGTGAACATGGCTGATGAAAACTTCCAAGATCTGTTACCGCATGAAAATTATGTTAAATCACTGGAATCAAAACCGGAAGATAATGTGGAGATCAAAATATCACAAAATGTTTTAGACACAGATCAGTTGGTGTGTATATCAAAGTCTGATGGCGAGGGTTCAATAGATATTACAAGCTCTACTAACCCCTCTTTATTTGTCAGTTCCTCAAATGTTTCAGAATCAAGTATTGGACTTGTTTCTGATGCATTGAATAATGTAAATAATGAAGATTCTGATTCCAAATTTGTTGGAAGAAATGAATCTAATGGTTATGCTATAATTCATCAATTTGGAAATCCGGCTGCTGAAAATGTAGATGATGATTGCTACGTAGTTGCTAGTTTTAAAACGAGTACTCCTATCAAAAATACAAATCATGAAACAGACAAAGGGGAACAGAGTGGTGTTTCCTTGGTTGAATGTGTGGATTTAACACAAGATGAACCAGAAGAAACTAAGTTTCAGGATTCCCTTGCCAATGAATTTACCAAAGATACTAGATTATGTATACTCCTTGATGTGATTCCTGATGCTGATCCTGACTTCTTAATGAGGAAGGTAAATGAATTTAAGACTGATGATGATTTGCAGTTATTTGTTTTGAATGCTTTGGAGACACAAAGCTATCCTAAAATTAGCACCGTTGAGAATATCCTTTCTAATGAAACTACCAAAATTGTTGGAAGGACAACTGACTTACTGAATGAAGATATTTCAAGATATAACTTTGACCAACCTTTAGATTACTCTACTTCCCAGAAGAGAGCCCTTACAGATGACAATACTTCAGATTTTGCTGATGTGAATTCTACCATTTCTAATTCATCAGGTAGGAGAGAAAATATATTTGGCCCAACAGTTATGAAAATTGAAGCAACTGTTTCTAAAGTTTCACAGATGATTTCTTCCTTCGGTGCAGCACATACATCCAGAACTCAAGAACTACTGTATCCTAGTTATCCGTTACCTGCTATGAATATGCAATATCTTTCTCTTCAGAGGGATATTCAGCCTAGAATCACTTCAATGGGTGCTAAACCTCACACTGTTACTTCTCAAGAAGCTTCTAATGATCGTACTGCATCTAACATTCCACAAACCGTTACATCTCATGCACAAGTTAGGTATCCAGGATTTCCAGTACAAGATTTAAGGGTTTCACAGCCAGGTGTTGAAAGATTAGGAACTCCCCGTTCAACGTACATTCCAACTCATAATTTTATTCCTTTCACCCAGACTGAAAACAACACATCTGCTAATACAGCTGTCAATGTTCCTGCTCAACCAGTTCCCCCTCCACAGATTATAGCGCCCGTCACTCGTGCACCTCATGCTACTTTGAATACTTTTCTTCCACCTAGGCCAGTGGGTGCTCATATGTGGACACCTTTGAACATTAACATTTTTAATCCTATAGACATCAATAATGCTGCCAGAGTTTATCAAGAATACAGAAGACATCGTAGAAATCACCTTTTCAACGTCCCTCATTATTTGGCGCATGGTATGATAGAAGACTTGGTAGGTTCTTTGAGCGATTTCCCCAAAGCAAAAGATGAAAATCCAAGATTTAAATTGCTTTCAGATATCTTGATCTGGGCAGATCCAAAGTTTTTAAGAAGTGAAGCAAATAAATTAAAAAGTGATGATGATGTTGAGAAGTTTCTTATTCGTGCCATTGCAAATGAAAAATTATGGAATAAATGTGTTGTTGCTACAAATTCTGCTCCAAAAATTTTACCTGGGTCAGCATCAGATAATAAATATAAAATTTTGTTAGAATTACTTCCTGATGCTAACCCAACCTTTTTAAAGCAGGAATGTGCCAAACTTACAAATGACGAAGAAGTGCATGAATTTGCTATGCGACTTGGTCGTGAACAAACCTATCCAAAGCGTAGAAGTAAAAATGTTTCTAAAAGTAAAGGCATTAAAAGAAAGCATGATGAAATTAGTGAGCCAGAAACTGTTGACCCGAAGTATCAAACTTTGTTAGATATGTTACCAGATGCAGATCCAGAATTTTTGTTGCAAGAAAGTAAAGTACTGGAAAACCCAGATGACCTTCAAAAATTTGTTTTGAAAGCTGTAGAAGAAAAAACTTACCCCAAACGTGACCAGTTCTTGGAAAGGCAGGAATATCAAAAACAGTGGAAAAAGTATATTGAAGAATTCAATATTAAAGAATTTCTGAAAGTCATTCCTAATCCTGTGAAATTTTTTTATATTGACAAAGTGAATTCCAAGACCCCTTTGAATATGCCTGGAAAATTTCTTCAGCATCGCTACAGACGTAAATGTACTCATAATTTTGGTAATTTCTTCAACGCAGCAAAACATAATCTTACTAAAACTTGTGATATTTTGGATGTGCATTATCAAACGAAACCAAGGAAATACGCTGCCTGGGATCAAAAAACTATGTTCTCTACTTCTATTTTACAAGAGGTGAGTGAATCATTTACAATGGGAGTGAATTGAAAAGAATGATGTGTTTGTTGCATTGTTTGTTTTTTCCAGATTGCATTCATCCAGAACAAAAAGGAAATAGCACATTATCTCCTTTTTAAAGAAGAAATGAAATTAGAAGCTTATGAGAAGGTATGTCATATGTTTCTTTTTATGATATTATTTATTATTATTATTATTATTATTATTGTTGTTGTTGTTGTTGTTGTTGTTGTTGTACATTTAAAAAAAATTGTATTAAATGTTTTATAGGGAAAAACTGAAGGAACATTACTGGAATGTAGTTGTTGCTATGAAGATAAACTCTCTGAAGACATGACGTTGTGCTTGGCGGGTCACATGTACTGTCTCAACTGTATCAAGCGGTAAGCTCCTCTTCAAAATTAAATCAGCTGTAAGATGTATAAATACAAGATTTTTAATGAATTGAGAAAATCATTGGTTTCTAAATATGCAAGAAGAGAGAAAAGGACAAAGTCCTCTTGCCTGAATTTTATTTTTTTACGTTCTTGCTTACTGCATTCACACTAAAGAGAAAATATTATAATGGTGCAGCAAAAACGATGCCTATCAGCCTGCCCGTCGGCAGTCAGTCCACTTATAGTCCCAGGCAATGGCGGCTGCGCCCTCCCCCAGAAAAAATCTGGAAAATAGTATTTAATTTGCAATTAATCGTCTCGTTTAATGTCTTAATACCAGCGTAATTTTGAGGACAAATTTAGTTTTATGTACTTAAGCGAAATATCTAAGTTTTTGGATTGGACTATGGTGGACTATGTAGAGTTCGTCCGTAGGATTTTGTTCGTCAGAGTCCGCGCCTATTAACCAAGCTAAAGCTGGCTTTACACTTGCAAGAAAATGACGAGCAATATTATTTCGCAAGAAAAGTTGCCAATGTAAA